TGTACCTATTTTAAGGGGACAGTTGAATTAACAGAGGAAGATTTCCATCATACCAAAAAATGCCGCCTTGGCAGATTACTTCTCCATACTCCCAGTCCCAGGCACCCACTGATCTGCATTCTGTCCTTAGAGATTAGTTGTGTCTTTTCCAGAAACTCTGAGCAGCTTGCATATTTAACACTGATCATTGATAAAGTCATTGTCTAGACACAATCCTGTAGCAACAAAAGGGTGTGTCTTAGGAGGATCTCATCAATGAACCCACACTGGGGTCTTGAATACACTTCTGGTCAGCTGGGAAGAAACAATGGACTAAGGTTTCTTCTAGGAAATGACTGGTTCCTTGTGTGGAAGGGTTGGGAACAGTAGCCAAGAGGCGGGATCACTTGTGTAGAAGCCAAATTATTGTTAATAAAATCCACGGTTGAACTGTGAGAAAGAGGGTAGCTATCACATTCAAAATTTGAGGCAAGATGAAGGTAAGACCACAAACATAGAATGCTGATAGCAAAATTTTCTAGGAAGGAGATGGAATTTCTCTGGGAGATGCAAGAGCAAGTGTGTGTTGGACCTTCTCTCCCAGGCTGGTCGTGTCAGGAGCCTGGTACATGGCTGAGTGCTGAGCTGAAATGCTCTAAGTGGAGCTGGAAATCATTTCAATGCATTGCTCAGAGCAATGACGCTTCCACTTCTGAATGCTGCCCTTGAACACCATGTAAGCTTTGCCAGGGAGTCACAGACTATCAGCCCCACTTCAGACCTGCTTATCTATCTACATTCTGATAAAACCTCAGGAGCTGCACATGTACATTAACATTTTAACATGCTTGAAGAGTAGGCTAAAGAGGGACACGTGGCAGCACCAGCAATTTGGCTCGGATACTAACTAGCGTAGTAGCTTCAGTGAGGAGAGGATGGGTATGAGGAGAAAGGAAGTACATCTATTGTCTGAACACCCTACGTCAAACAGATCTGGCTCTTTTCACAAACATCATTCCTTTCGCCTTCTCAATAATCCTGTGAGTTTGCCTTATCCCAGTTTTATGGAAGAAACTAAGATTCAAAGAAGGCAGAAATTTGGCCTGGTGTGGCGCTGCGGGTTAATTCACTGGACTGAAAAGTCAGTTTGAACTGCAAGGTCGGCAGTTCAAGCTCTCCAGCTGCTCCTTAGGAAACCCTATACAGGGTCACAATGAGTGGGAATTGAAGTGATGGCACTTAACAATAACAACAACACACCCACAGATGAAACATCAGTTCACATTCAAGACTCTCTAATGCCTAAACCATTCTGTCTTTCTGTTTAGGGGAGAAAGAGTGGAGACCACAGTCTACAACAGACTCTGAGAAATCACAGTATTTATTAATCATCTCTACTGAGTTGGCATGTCTCCCTTTTCCCTAATTGTTTACTGTATTTTTTTGTTTTCCCATAATGAACCTAACCAAGAGTCTAAAAAAATGAGTTACAGTTGTGGAATGATTTGGAACAGATAGAGCATGGGATAGAGCATGAGATGGAGCATGGGACAGAGCATGGGACAGAGCATCGGATGGAGCATGAGATGGAGCATGGGATAGATCATGGGATAGAGCATGGGATAGGGCATGGGATAGAGCATGGGATAGGGCATGGGATAGAGCATGGGATAGAACATGGGATAAGGCATGGGATAGGGCATGATATAGAGCATGGAATAGGGCATGGCATAGGGCATGGGATAGGGCATGGGATAGAACATGGAATAGAGCATGGGATAGAACACGGGATAGGGCATGGGATAGAACATGGGATAGAATATGGGATAAGGTATGGGATAGGGCATGGGATAGAGCATGGGATTGAGCATGGGATAGGGCATGGGATAGAGCATGGGATTGAGCATGGGACAGAACATGGGACAGAGCATGGGACAGAGCATGGGACAGAGCATGGGACAGGGCATGGGATAGAGCATGGGATAGAACATGGGACAGGGCATGGGATAGGGCATGGGATAGAATATGGGATAGAGCATGGGATAGGGCATGGGATAGAGCATGGGATAGA